GGGGGGGAGGGTTGGGACTGACCGCGCGGTTGGAAGAGGGGGGGAGGCAAGGTGGGGTACTTTGATTGACAGATAGTGTCGTGAAGATTATTTTTTTTTTATTAACTGAAGATATTTGTTTTAGCTCATAAAATTCATACAAATTACCCGGTCAGAATATAATTTACATTGCTGGAATTCTTATAATTTGGTGATCATTTTGAATATAAACATCATATATTTTGCTTTAAACTTACAATTTTTAGATAAAAATTTTTCTCTAGGTAACTATGGTATCTTTTGTCCAAATTATATGACATTTATATTCAAAATATTCCTGGTCTTACAAGGAATCCAGCAATGTCAATTATATTTTCCTAACTTTAGTTTGAGGTTATCCCACACATCTCCTTGGGACGGTTGGTGGGGGGTGGGGGGGGGAGGGAGGGACCGACCGACCATCTGTTAGCCGGCTGTGTAGTGTGAGAGGGGGAGGGAGTTGAGTCCATTATTTGAATGGACATTAACTTGGCGACTGTATTTCTCTATTTCTCTTAAGTATTAATTGTGTGCATTTACCATCATAAAATTAAGATGTTATTTTTACTACAACATAGGTATGTGCCTTCAAAAAGTGGAGTTTGGGGGTCGGGCCGGTTTCTATTGGAATTAATCCCATATGTTCTGTTGTTCACTTAACGCGGATTTCACTTAACGCGGGACCCTCTGGGTTCAATTGACCGCGTTAAGTGGGGTACAACTGTATTTATATTTTTTAATAATTTATAAATTAATGTCTCTGTTATTATGCATTTCTACCAAAAGTGTTACAAAAGAAAATAGTTTTGTATTAACGCATTCTACTATATAACCACACAAAAATCATGAAATAGCTGTTGGTGTTAAAAGTAAGTATAACTTAAAGTTGGAAAGTGTGCGAAGAGAGCAATTATTTTTTTACACATCATATGATTGCTTTCTACCCCTTATTTACAGATTGTACAGAATGTCACGACCACCAGCCAAGAAACGATGTCATACAAATGAAGAGGATATTAGAGAATTTAAAGAATACTGGACTGAAAAATTTGGCATGATTAAGAAAGATAATAAAGCATTATGCATTTTATGTTCTGAATCAGTTGTTTGTAGGACTTCTTCTGTGAAGAGACATTTTGAAACTGTTCATAAAAACTTAAGTAATGTAACTGAGCAAGAACGAAGAGAATTAATTTCTCGTGAAATGATTAAGACAAAAAAACAGTCTGATGTTTTGATGAAATTTATTTCAGGTAGGCCAAGTTCCAACTTAGTTGCTGCTGGTTTTGAGGTTTCAAAAGTTATTGCCCAACATGGAAAGCCACTCAGTGATGGGGAGTATATTAAAGAAGCATGGCTAGAATGTGCTCCTTTCCTTTTTGATAACCTTTCAGAAAAGGACAAGATTATTCAGCGCATTAAAGATTTGTCTGTGAGTAGAAAAACAGTTAAGGATAGGATACTTAAGATGGAAATGAATACAACTGACCAATTAACAAAGGATTTAGCTTCATATAAGTTCTTTTCTATTTGTGTTGATGAAAGCACAGATATTACATCATCAGCTAGGCTAGCAATTTTTTCTCGATTTTGTAGGGATGATGAGGTATGCGAAGAGATGATTAACCTTGTAACACTACCTGAGCGTACCACTGGGGCTGACATATGTAAAGCAGTTGTGAACGAATTATCTATTCGACAAATTGACATTTCAAAAGTAGTATCCGTCACAACAGATGGTGCACCCAGTATGATTGGTAAGGAAGCAGGATTTGTAAATCTGTTTGCAAAACATGTTGGTCATCCGCTGATAGGTTTTCATTGCATCATACATGAGGAGGCTTTATGTGCTAAAGCTGGTCTAAAGGAACTTCAAGAAGTGATGCAAACAGTCACCAAGGTTATTAATTACATTTCTGCACGTGCCTTAAATAAAAGACAATTTCGGAATTTATTGAATGAGGTGGATTCGGTGTACAAAGGACTAACAATGTACAACAATGTTCGTTGGCTTAGTCGAGGATTTGTTTTGAAACGATTTGTTGAATGCATGGATGAGATAAATCTCTTTCTGATTAACCAACAAATGTCTTATAAAGAAATGTCTGACATCGTGTGGATTTGTAAACTAATGTTTTTTGCAGATTTATGTGAACATTTAAATGACTTAAATGTTAAATTACAAGGCTCTGGTAAGACACTTGATGTTATGTTTGATTACATAAAGGCATTTGAAATGAAACTAGGAGTTTTTAAGAGGGATGTAGATAGTGAAAGATTTAGATACTTTCCAAACCTGAAGAAATACATCAATGATCTCACAAAGGATGACAAAACAGACTGCCAGTGTCTTCAGAAGCTATTTGTAAACATCATTGAGTCAACTGTTGAGCAGTTCTCAACAAGATTTGCTAGGTTCAGAGAATTAGAAGAGACTGCAAAATTCATTAAGTTTCCAGACAGTATAAAACTGGATGAACTAAACTTGCAGAAGTTTTCATGGATAGATATGGATGATTTTGAAATGCAATTGATTGAATTTCAAACTAGCTCAATTTGGAGGCAGAAATTTGTTGAGCTTAGAGCTGACTTGGAAAGTATTGAAAAGGATCGATTAGAGAAGGGAGTAAGAGAGAGAAATGCCGAAAACGAGGTACTGATGACTTGGAATACTATTCCAGAAACTTTTGTCTGTTTAAAAAAACTTGCAACAACATTACTAACCATTTTTTCATCTACATATTCTTGTGAATCATTGTTCTCAGTGATGAACTCTGTTAAGTCTCATAATAGAAGTAGCCTTACTGATGAAACTAGTAGCGCATGTATATCTCTCAAGGTTACAAAATATAAACCGGATATAAATTATCTATCATCAGGGATGCAGCAGCAGAAGTCTCATTGATTCTAAATAAAGAAAAGGTTCACAATTATTCGTTCCCTAATTTTCATTTGATGTATTCTGTTAAAAATATTAAGGATTCGCTTTTGTTTAACCCTTTAGGTGCGTAATTAAATTTCGCGCCGGTTCCTGAAAAGTGTCAATTATCCTGCCAAAAATGAATTTCATATAATCACATTTTCTATATGTTTTTCCTAGAGAACTTTTAGTATATTTTCCAAATCTGGAACAAAAATTCACATATGTGTGCAAATTTTAGAGAAAAAATGACATTTATACCCAAAAATGCAGGAAATTGGTATAAATCAATGTCTGGTATATGGCAAATAAATTTAATCAATTTGGTTACTAAACAGCAAATTTAGATATGTATTACATATTCAGATAATATCAAACAAAATATTACAAAAATAAGCTATATTGCATTCAGGAAATACTCCTATACCTCAATACATAATATTTCCGCATGTCGTCTCATTTGGGGAAGTTTTTTCAAGGCCGTGGGATATCCCCGCTTGTCGCATTTAATTAATATAATATTTTGGGCGGGTTTACCCGCATGTCGCATCCAAAGGGTTAATATAATACAGTGTGTATTTTTGTAGGTAAAATAACTTTTATATTTTCTCTGTGGTTTTTATGCATCATTCATAAAGGATTAAGAATCAATAAAAGAATATCTTTAGTTTTATATCCTTTTATTGTGTTTTAGTCGAGTAAATCGATATTGAGCTTGGTATTGTAATGTACTGAAAAAAGTTTACAAAAACTAATGGCTGAATGATCTGATAAACAAATCAAAAATATTGTTTACTCTTTTGCTGATGCTAAAAATAACGTCTTTAAATTGTGTGGATGTATATGACAACTAGATTTACACTGAAATGCTAATATAAAACATCCACGCTAACAACAGGGAAGAACAACCACTAAGTAAAAATTCTGTCACTAATTTTTACATTCATTCAATATCCCATGATTTATAAAATCACTCTTACAAAACTCTCTGATTTTACCACCCCGGTGTGATTTCTGATTATTTGAAAAGGTTCTCCCATTACGTAAAAGATACCAAATAATATGTGACCCGGAAATTTTGGTTGGCACGAGAGAAAATTTTGTATCAAAGATTTGGTCGATTTTGGCACACACACTCAAAAAGGTTGCCCACCCCTGGTTTAGGCCATCGAATAATAAAGCTGTCAAAAGAACCTTGCACAGCTGCTTACTTTTCTCATTATTTATATCTTTATGTAGAGGTCATTTGTGTTTATTTAAATTTTAATGCTTTGTTCTGTTAATGGATCCCCTTCAGAAAATATGTTCATTGCTTGCTCCATATAATATCCACAGACCTCTCGCCTTTTTCATATCGTTTTAACACATCTAGTTTCTCGGCTAAGCTTAGACACTTTCTATTAGCTTTTGAAACAACACTACCATCACTTGCTCTCTTGCTCATGTTGAATAGGGATGCAAAAATGCTGTAAGAAACCCAAGAAAGTTTTTCTCCAGTTCCTGTTCCAGATGCGTGAAAACAAAAGGCCCGCCAAGCTCTGACTGTTGTTTACCACTCATTAGCAAGGCAGCTTCTTTGTGTATGGTGCTCTTCATTTTTTTTTTACAGTAAATTTTTATTTTTTTTATAATAGATATCGGGATTTAGTTATTGTTAATATGAAAATGTAATTTTATTTTATTTCTATTATATTGTGGTCGTAAATACGGATGAAATAAGGATGTAAACTGAATTGGGTCCTAAATTATCTAGGGTTTCAAATACGAAAAGTTGTTGGTCGAACCGTTATTATCCTAGGCTTCCCTGTATATAATATTTATCCAATTTAATAACTATACATTGAGATCAGACAATATAAAGGTAATCTTTCCTCCGTCAGTGATCTCACACTAATGACATAGAGGTTTATCTTTGGATAGAGTTATTGGATAGCAATATTTGGAATGATGTTGCGAGAAACAAATACCCGAGTTATTAATGCATACATAAAACCCGCCTCTGAAAGTGCGTAGGTTATATATGAATTTTTTATTTGGCAGGGCTTGCCATCAAACATCCACCATGGCTCAGTCAATCAACGATGCAAGATGCACTCGACGAATAACGAGCCAAGTAAGGAAAATCGTATTGAATATCTACAAGTATCTCCGATATCAAGATGTACAACAAAGTGAAACTGACATCGAGCTAAGGACTGCCTCTGTTACGGGGATCTCCGTTCGATCTCTTCACAGAATAAAACAGCAACACAGAGTTGGTGTAATAAAATCTCCACCTTCTAGGACCAGGATATCGCCAGTGATGGGAACGGTGGATGATTTTGATAAGGACTGTATACGACGAGAGGTACTCGCTTTCTATGAGAGGGGTGAAATTCCAACCGTGAACGCTCTGCTGAAAAGGGTGAAGAAACCACCTGTTAGATTCTCTGGCGCCTATTCTTCACTCCACAAGATTGTGAAACAACTTGGGTTTCGTTTTAAGAAAGTACAAAGTGGCAGATGCATTTTAATGGAAAGAAATGATCTTGTTGTTGCAAGAAACAAATACCTGAGACTCATTGCTGAAAACAGAAAATCCAGCAGCCCAAGGCCAGAAATATATTTAGACGAAACTTGGGTAAACCAAAACGAGTGTTGGACAATGGCTGATGGATCTGTAGACCCAAAACTGAAAACCGGGAAAGGAGCTAGATATATTATTCTGCATGCTGGTGGGGAAGATGGATTTGTACCTGGGGCTTTTTTATTTTTTAGATCAAGCAATGGTAATAAGGGGGATTACCATGACAGCATTAATCACACATGCTTCCAGTCTTGGTTCCAGACACAGTTACTCCCAAACATTCCAGCTCATTCTCTCATAGTGATGGATAATGCATCATATCATTCTCAAATTTTAAATAAAGCACCAGCCAGTAATTCCAAGAAATGTGAAATTATCCAGTGGCTAACAGAACACAATATTGCTCATGACCCATCCCATACAAAATTTGAACTTCTTAGTCTTGTCAAATCACACAAAAATAAGCAGGTATATGAAGTTGACCAAATAGCCTGTGATGCTGGTCATGAAGTACTTAGACTTCCCCTTTATCATTGTCAGCTTAACCCCATAGAATTAATTTGGGCTAAAGTAAAGACTGAAGTGAAAAAGTACGATTCAAATACCAACCAGACGTTAAAAGGGGTTGAAGAAATAACTAAGAGTGCAATAGACAGAGTAACTTCACAAGACTGGAAGAAATGTATATGTCATACAAGACTGGTAGAAGATGAGTATAGAAGGAAAGACATTGCTCTTGAACATCTAACAGACAATTTGGTGATAAACACCGATGATGACAGTAGTGAATCTGACAATGATGAATGAGGTAATCACAGTTTATGTAATAAACTAGATACCGTAAATTGCTGTGTATAAGTCGACATTTTAAGCTTGAAAATATCTCTCCAAAACCAGGGTTCGACTTATACTCAGAGTATAAAATGTGAAGCTGTACCACATAGTGGTAAACAAGTGGAACAGCCTGCCTAACACTGCATCACTAACTCTCGTGGCCTGCCGCTAATATTTCCTACTGAAATTCATGTTTGGTAAACTTATTTAACATAGACATTATAATAAAATAGTAAATTCCAGTACAGTATAATATATATATACAGTGGGGCATGCTATAACGAACGGATCCTACTATGAATATTCCTATAACGAACGGTTTTATCTATAAAATTGAGAATGCTATAACGAACGAAACTCCTACAACGAACATAATTTAAATTTTTTTTTTTCTAATTTATTGTTTTATTATTACAAATATTAATGATATTCTTTATTTCAGGGGTATAGATGCATATTTATGCACTTTTTAAAATTTTTACAATTTTATATTATATTTTTCAGTGTTAAGTGGTTGTATTTGGGGGCCTGGAACGGATTAATCCTATAACAAACGATTGCTATAACGAACAAGGTTCTAGAACCAATTAGATTCGTTATAGCATACCCCACTGTGTGTGTGTATATATATATATATATATATATATATATATATATATATATATATATATATATATATATATATATATATATATATATATATATATATATATATATATATATACAGTCAACCCTCACATTACGCGGTCCCGCATTCCGCGGTTCACCGTTAACGCGGTGCCCTGCCGGAACCTAACATGCTCACATTCCGCGGTGCGTGTACCCCATTACGCGGAGAGCGGCTGGCAAGCCGCGCCATTTTTGGATCCAAACCTCCCGCCATCCGCCATGTTGTGTAAGAGGCGCGAAAATGGTGCGCACAAGGTCGCCCAGTCATCAAAACATTACCAGTTCTTCACCCGCCACCCACTACAGCCGGCCCAAGTCAGTGATAGTGATAATTATAGTGAGGATATGGACTTATATGAACTTTGGGGGTTTGACAAAGAGGCCCTGCAAGCCTCTGTGGTGGATAGTGATACAATTGATACAAGTGATAAGGTGCCAATAATCTGCCCTCTGCCTCGGAACCAACCGCCCATCCCCGTGTGCCCAGCCATCTTTTCTACTAATGTAAGTGTTAAAAAACCTAATATTATTGATATTTCTCTTAATTATTAATTGTGTGTGCATGCCATCATAAAGTTAAGATAATATTTTTACTACAACATAGTTGTGTGTCGTCAAAAAGTGGAGTTTGGGGGTCGGCCTGGACTCTATTTCAATTAATCCCATATGTTATGTTATTCACTTTACGCGTTCCTCACTTTCCGCGGTACCCTCCGGGTTACATTAACTGCGTAAAGTGAGAGTTAACTGTATGTGTGTGTGTATATATATATATATATATATATATATATATATATATATATATATATATATATATATATATATATATATATATATATATATATATATATATATATATATATATATATATATTGATAAAATCACATGGGAAAATTTTATCAAGATTTATCTTATCCACGTTTTCATTGTGGATTTACATGATATATATATATATATATACAGTTGTACCCCACTTAACGCGGTCAATTGAACCCAGAGGGTCCCGCGTTAAGTGAAAACCGCGTTAAGTGAATAACAGAACATATGGGATTAATTCCAATAGAACCCAGCCCGACCCCCAAACTCCACTTTTTGACGACAAATAACTATGTTGTAGTAAAAATAACATCTTAATTTTATGATGGTACATGCACACAATTAATACTTAAGAGAAATAGAGAAATACAGTCGCCAAGTTAATGTCCATTCAAATAATGGACTCAACTCCCTCCCCCTCTTCTCACACTACACTCACTGGCTCTTCCCTCTGAGAAATTTTTGGGGGAAAACCAGGTATAGTAATAAATAATTCCTCAAACTAAAGTTAGGATGATATAATTGACATTGCTGGATTCCTTGTAAGACCAGGAATATTTTGAATATAAATGTCATATATTTTTCACAAAAGATAACATATTTACTCAGAATAAACTTTACATCAAAAATTTGTATGTCTAATGCAAAATCTATGATGTTTATATTCAAAATGATCAGCAAATTGTAAGAATTCCAGCAATGTAAATTATATTCTGGCCGGATAATTTGTATGAATTTTATGAGCTAAAACAAATATCTTCAGTTAATAAAAAAAAAAATATATTCTTCAACACTATCTGTCAATCAAAGTACCCCACCTTGCCTTCCCCCCCCTCTTCCAACCGCGTGGTCAGTCCCAACCTTCCCCCCACCCCCACCAATCCTCCCTTCCAGAGTTTATAACATTTAGTATTAAATAATACCTCAGATTAAAGTTAGGATAATATAATTGACATTGCTGGATTCCTTGTAAGACCAGGAATATTTTGAATATAAATGTCATATATTTTGGACAAAAGATAACATAATTACCTAGAGAACAATTTTTATCTAAAAATTGTATGTTTAATGCAAAATATATGTTGTTTATATTCAAAATGATCACCAAATTATAGGAATTCCAGCAATGTAAATTATATTCTGACCGGGTAATTTGTATGAATTTTATGAGCTAAAACAAATATCTTCAGTTAAAAAAAAAAATAATTCTTCACCGGGTAACAGATGGTCGGTCGGTCGGTCCCTCCCTCCCCCCACCCCCCACCCCCCACCAACCGTCCCAAGGAGATGTGTGGGATAACCACTAAATTTTAATAAATAATACCTCAAACTAAAGTTAGGATAATATAATTGACATTGCTGGATTCCTTGTAAGACCAGGAATATTTTGAATATAAATGTCATATATTTTGGACAAAAGATAACATACTTACTCAGATTAAACATTTTATCTAAAAATTGTATGTTTAATGCAAAAAATATGTTGTTTATATTCAAAATGATCACCAAATTATAAGAATTCCAGCAATGTAAATTATATTCTGGCTGGGTAATTTGTATGAATTTTATGAGCTAAAACAGGCAGTCAGGCAGGGTGGCGGGTGGGGGGTGGTGCGAATCTAAAAATAGCTCTCGAGCCGGACACTCACCGCGTATATGATGAAAAATGCCGCGTTAAGTGAAAGTTCAGCTTTGGCAAGGCACCGCGTATATGCGAAAACGCGTTAAGTGAAAGCGCGTTAAGCGGGGTAATACTGTATATATATATATATATATATATATATATATAGATATATATATATATATATATATATATATATATATATATATATATATATATATATATATATATATATATATATATATATATATATATATATATATATATATATATATATATATATATATATATATATATATATATATATATATATATATATATATATATATATACACATATACAGTTAACCCTCACTTTACGCGGTTAATGTATATATATATATATATATACACACACACACACACACACACACACACACACATGGAGTCTGCATTTACTCGGCTTTTGTTTACGCGTTTGGTCACTTACGCGGTGCCTTGCCAGAATGAAATGCTTTAATTACGCGGTAAATTTGGTCATTTACGTGGGTGAAGTATAATTTGTTTTCTGTATTTACTGAAGATATATATATTTTAGCTCATAAAATTCATACAAATTACCCGGCCAGAATATAATTTACATTGCTGGAATTCTTATAAGATTGTGATTATTTTAATTATAAACATCATAAAATTTGCATTAGACATACAAATTTTAGATCTAATTTAAGAATTTTGATTAGAAAGAGCAAAAATTTTATATTTTGTGCAAAATATATGACATTTATATTCAAAATATTCCTTGTCTTGCAAGGAATCCAGCAATGTCAATTATATTATCCTAACTTTAGTCAGAGGTATTATTTATTACTAAAAATATAAGCCTACTGTTTTCACCCAAACATTTCTCAGAGAGGGAGGAGCCAGCGAGCGTGGGAAGAGGGGGGGGGAGTTGAGTCCATTATTTGAATGGACATTAACCAGCGACTGTATTTCTCTTAAATATTAATTGTGTGTGCATACCATCATAAAATTAAGATGTTATTTTTACGACAACGTAGGTATTATGTCGGAAAAAGTGGAGTTTGGGGGTCGGCCCCGTCTTTATTTCAATTAATCCCAACTGTACTGTTATTTCATTTACGCGTTTCTCGTTTTACGCGGGCCTCCACGGGTTCAATTGACCGCATAAATGCAGACTCCACTGTTTTTATATATATATACGTACAGTGGTCCTGAGGTTAATGAAGGGTTAGCTTAACAAAATTTCTGTTAACGAATTGCCTTCCATAAGAATCTTCAATTCGGTTAACTAACAAAAATTTGATTAACGAAATCCTTACGAACATCACGTTTTGTTGTGAGCCTCAGCTGATGGGCTAGTCTGCCAATTCAGTTATTCAGTAATCTGTTCTATGTTTACATTCGTTTCCAAGTGGAGTAAATATCAAGAAAATTGTGTTTGTCACTATTTGTGCATTTTTTTATATTAAAATTATTGGTCATTCTAAAATTTAGCCATCCAAGCTCTGTCTACATAAAGTTTTCCAACTACTGTATTATTTTTGGCTCGATATATGTAACTTTATTCATTTATTGAAACTCATTTACATGCACACACTGTCCTAAGGACAAAGCTGTACTGTATAAGTAATCAAAATAATGTACAAAATGAATACTAAAATTTTAGTCTAGTGCAAACTATTGCATGTTTACATTCAAATTAATCACTATCTTATAAGAATTCCAGCAATGTAAATTATATTCTCCCCCAGTCATTTCTATGAAATTTTATAACCAAAAAACAAAAACTCAATCTAAAAGACATAAATAAACAAATAAATACTTCACTAGACTTTTGGCGCTAACTGTCAAACATGTCACTGTCA